CTCTGGAACAATTAAATTGTACAGCGGAATTGAACTCTTTAGTAACATTAGAGAAAATAGTTAGGCTTTTACCTCATCGTATGCAAGTCCAGTGGGCAGAGCTGGGAATTAAATGGGACGAAGAAGAAAGAGAGCCTACATCCAATGAATCGACTGACTTTATTTTGTCTCGTACTAGGATAGCTAGTAGTAGATTTGGACGATTAGCTAATCGCACGAAAACAGGACATGATATGGAAGCGACTAGTCGTCCGCGTGCGAGACATGGTAATTCCTCGAATGTGTTTGTACCACCTCACACCCGGAACTTAAGATAGTCGTTACTTGTATTAGCAAGGTATATCCTCTTGAAGACCAAGCATGTAACCCTGATGGTTTAAAATCCCTTGATGTGTATCCTAGTGAGAAGTCGGTATCTGTAGCAGATAAGATGGCCTTTTTGAGGATGGCAAAGAAGGAAAAAGGCAGAAAGGGTAGGCATCAAGACGGATCCGAGGTATGTGATGGTAGAAGCTTCTTAACTGCTCGAAATGCAAGGAATGGTAATTTGGATTCGAGCAAACAGAGGTTGATGAGTGCAGTGAATATGAATAAGGACTAAACAGGTTTGACTGTATGGAATGAAGCTTATGTTCGGAATCCTTAACTTTGGGTAAATTATTTGACACGACCTAGAGCTGATCCTAGGACAACAAGCGTAAATAGTGACACAGCACTTCATGTTGCTGAGCAATCAGGATGTCTGCGGGCTACTGTATCTAGTTCTATGGAGTATCATGATAGTGAAGCGAAAGATAATAGCAGCTTAGCGCATCCTGTTGATGTTTGTTTACAGTCAACTGATGGACGGTCGCATACTAGTCCAAGTAGTAGTAGCAACATTGATAGTGTTAGTGTAAGTGGCAGCAGTGGTGGCTTAGCTTTAAAGCCTGCATGCCAACCATCCCGCAACTCGTCATCAACTGTGAATAGTCGGAATATCATTGTGGACAACAATAACGTCAAGGTGGAGGTGAAACCTCATGTGTCTATTAATAGTGTGATAGATGTGAATAATAAATGTGATGGCAAAGATAGTGGAATCACTATAGGTAGTGCAGTTTCTTCGACTGCTTTTACCAATGTAGCTTCTTTGAGTACTTCAGATCGTGACGAAATTGGATGTTTCAGCGTGGAGAATGTAGGCGTCGGTGGCAATAGCGTCAGCCACAGTGATGGCACTACTGAGAGGGCTAACATTCAGTGCCCTAGGTGCGATGAGGAGTCATCTAGGCTTAATGGAAATGCTGTTGTTTTAAATATGCAGCATGAGGAATGGAGCATGGAATTGTCCACCTGTCGCACTCCACCATCTTTGACTTGTACTACAAGTATCGGGATGAGAACTACCAACAGTGATAAGATAGATGAGGTTAAGAGCATTCCTAGTAATGAAAGCAATATTGATCGAGTAGAGTTGGACACTGTGCATGAGTCGACTGGATGTCATGGGAAGATGACTACTACTTGTACAGTTGCGGCTACTAATGATAATAGCATTGATAATACTCCTGCGGGTAATAGTGATCGAGGAAAGTTGAAAGACACTCATCGACATCGAAATGATCGTACGTTACGCTCACATACGGCTACCCAAGGTGAGAAGCAGAAGAAACGACATGATGCTACTATTATTAAGAAGCGTAAACTTCGCTCTCTTTCGGATGCTGTGACTAGCAATGGAAATAGTAGTCATCAGAATCGTAGTAGTGGTAGCGATAGTGAGGAGACAGAAAGTGTGAGCGATCCATTCATAGTGACTAGTCGATCAACATCATCGAATGATCCCTCTAGTGTTTTGTTTTCATCGAACCCTGCCACGAATGTTAAGTTGATTGAAGATGCCCATTCAGCTAATCTCCTCGGTGGTTGATAGCCGCTTCTTTATTCCGGTCTTGATATTATTTCGATATCACGACGCCAGCGATAAATATACTTCTTCATCCAGGTCAGTCAGCAAGTATGTTCCCCCAATTTTAGGCTTACTGAATATTAAAGACCCAGATCATGAACTGGTGCGTCTAAATCGTACATTTTTGTCAATTGAGTGGCATTACATGTTGATGTTTACTACAATGCACGGTGATACATTTGTTGTGCTTAAAATATAGCTGCCATGTTTTACTCCATGTAGATTGGTTATCAAATTTACTTTGAATCCGGGCTTCATTTTCGTTCAGATCTTCAGGCTCAAGCTGTATACTACTTCTAGGTCATTTCGAATCCTATAGTTTTACATATATCGTTTATGTACATCAGAAACAAGTGTTGAGCTAATACGCCTCATTAATTAACTCCACTGATTAGTGGTCTTGAGGCTAAAGGCAATCGTTGTAATTTACCGTTTGTTGGCATTTATTTAGAAGCAAGAAGAACCACTAAGATGGTGGGTTGAAGGTTTCGTATGACCATAGATGAGCATTCTTTTGTATGGAACCATTATAAAAGCTTCCTTGAAGTTGAAGGTTAGGACTGATACAAGAAACACATTGTCTAGCTTTTCAGTTATATCATTCGGGTAGTCTAGTAGCCGTTTCTCGCACTAACTGGAGTTCAGTAACCCATCCTGGGAGTTTGATATGAGATTTGTGTTAGGCAGGTATTGTACTACCGTCGACTTTAACACTTTAACCACCAGTCTAGATACTATTGAGGTCACATTTACGTGTCAGTAATTTTAAACATTTGTTGCAAGCCGTGATTTAATTTTAAGGAGAGCATGTGTATTCTTCCAGGTATTAGTGTTACAATCTGTAGGGAGTGATATAATTAATGGTTTAAGAACTGTAACACAGATCATTGCTTCATTTTTCGGCACGCTATCTAGGAAACCAACTGATCCTTCACTGTAATAATTTTCAGTGTGCTAAACTCCTTACAAATATTCTGTACTCTAAGTCTACACTGGTGACTTCACACGAAGGTATTGGGATCAGCTGTTATTCACTTAGTAGATTTTTGTTTATTAATGGGGCGCTATAGTGTACGGTAAATAGCTCCACGACACTTTTAGAATCTTTCGCTCTAGACCAGTTAAGTTTGTTTTTAAGGTTTATAATAAGTGCAGAAGGGACATTATTCAGTTCGATAGTGTGTCTCGAATGTACAATTTCCTTTTTGTACTAATTACATCTGCTTCTGCATATAATTTTGTTATTGTAACTGAAGAGGATTAGTCACTGAGGTTATGGAGTCTGGAGGCATGTCTTTGAGGAGGTAGAGACCTCGATGTATTTTATTGGAACTCGTTCTTCAGGTACTTGATGTACTTGTGTTTGCAGATATGCATTGGTAACATCAGTCTTTAAAAATTCTGATTATATACACATGTGCGACAAAATCACCTGGCATGAGAAGTGGATATTTATGTGTTTCTAAGGCATGGTGAAGTCTATTCGGACAGAGCCATACAATTTCTTTACAACAACAACTGATGCTGCTTACCTTGGTACAACAACAAACATGATCTTGAAGAATACTGGAAAAACTCTATCATTTTTCTGATCCTATGAGTATACAGAAATTACTGGAGATTCAAACAAGATAAAAGAATACATATGAGATTTAATGGATGAAAATACGTTCTTGAATCTGTAATACAATTGAGAACTAGTGGACCGAAAGACTCATCGGTAACACATTATGCAGATTTTATACTTAGACCTTTGAATTAGACAATAGTTTTGATAATTCCATGAATTTAATCGCAATGCACGAAGAATTCTCGGTGTAAATTTTTCGAGTAAACAAAATTTCTCGATTGTATTCATTAACATTAGTTGACACAAATTTGTGTAAGCACGGGTTAAAACCAGACTAGGAATTCGATGTTATTGGAATTTTTCACGTCCGCTAAATCCCTCGTTGTGATAAATTATTTCACTTTGTGCGCATTCACGGACACAGAATGGACAGAATGGAGAGAAATTTCATACCCTACAGTTCCAGTTACTAAGGAAATGCCCTGAATAACAATGTGATCTACGAACAATAGACATCTGACTTTAGCGAGAGCATTTCTGTGATTCATGCCTTGAGACTTAAATGAGAAATTTTCATGTAAGCTTGACAAGACCAGCTAGGTAGCTAGAATTTATCTATTCAATCATCCTTATGCGAGTTTTAGGATATTAAGTTCTATGACATTTCTCATTAATGCTTACAAACGCTAAACCTGTCTGATGAAACTTGCTAAACGATTTTGCACAGCCGAAGCGGAAAATGTTACCTAGTTTGATTCATGAGATATGGTTTAGAAAAAGCTCATATTCTGTTCCTTTGAGTCAAAGGAAGAGAAATTTCGCTTTTAGAGAGTCATGGTGGTGAAAAAATCATCGTGAAAAATATCTCGTGTTAGTTGGACCAAGATGTAAAGGTGATGATTTCATCAGGGTCGAAAGGAAAAGCATTTATGCAGTTATGCCAGTCATAAGTCTCAGAAAAACCTGACATACAGGCTTACATCCAAGCCTTGCTTAAACATAGAATAATCAGAGGAAATAGTGAATAATTGGCGAACAGAGATACAGTTAATGTTAGTTCAAAAATCCGTTCGATATGACAAGACCCTCATCAGTTTCCGCTCACAAACTTTCTTTCAAGTTCTAGGTCATCACATGGCAAAAATCAGTGATCTTTTGTGATTATACATGCAAATAGAGACATTATTTATTGATCGTTTTAAATGTCGTTGCTCAAAAAGGTTAACTTGAAATGTCAGAGAAATGGCACAGGAATGTCAGAAAGTTAAATAAGTCAATTGCAGTTATCAGGTGAAAAGTGTCCGTTTTACCTAATAAAAAACTGCGACTGTTTAATTTGTTTAAACCCTTCAGGGTATTTGCTCTTGTAGGACGTATTATTAACTGATATGGCGCTTCCTACAATAGTTTAATACTCTGGGATATACATGTTCAAACAATCTAGTCAAAAACTGTAGATTGTAGCTTCATCTTAAGGAGATGGAATCTGACGTAGATCACCCAGTATGTCAAAATGAACTTAACCTACATTTTTATCAAACAATTTATTGTTCAATAAATTATTAAATACGAAAAATATAACATTAATTTAGGAAGAATAAAACTATCGCACACCTAAGTGAATAAATTTTGGTTGAGTTTCACAATAATTAATGAATCTTTTCAACCTTCAATTCTATATTTGATAATTGTTTCAAACCTCTAATTAGTTCTTATTTAAATATTTCTTACCAGGGATGACTAAACAAAGATCATTCAGTCATCTTTATGTTACAGAGTGGTAATTTCTTGCAACTCAAACGTATTTTAGCACTTGGAATTTTGAAGAAACTTTCCTTCAACACAAGGCACTCCTTGTTTCGAGTTTACACATGGGTTTTTAAAAGTGATTTCGTTCAAAAATCACTCAGGTATGTCTGCTGCTCCAACAATCTTGAGCTTATAGCCGGGACATAATTGCAATAGATAAACGTAGACCTAATCGATTATGATGCTCAATGTATCGTCTACTTTAGTGGTTTTCCAGATTTAACTACATTCATGGTGGACTGCGTATGTACACGTGTTGTTACAGTCTACCTAGTAAGTTGGAATGCTTGATTCGTGGTCTATAAACTATTAGAATATTAAACTGAGTATGAGTGAAGTTTTCATCATTGTAATAATGATGAATAATGTTGAAATTTGATTAAGTTTACTCAAAAAACTACAAATTCACCCGAAATATGCAACGTAGTTATAACTACTGTAACATCACAATAAGATGTGGCTACGTTTTTGCCAACTCAGTCATATCTCTAGCTATGATCGATCAGTATACCAGACAAAAATAAACAATGTTTGAACACACGTTTATTCATGGTGACATTTATATATAGGACGTTTTACATGAATTCGAACTGGGGTTCGTTAAAAACATCTAAATTATGCATCTAACTAACATGCATCTTAAACCTCATCAATCAAAACCTGCAAAAATGCGGTCAATTTATTGGTTTCAGGAATAACTAAAGTTATACATTGTCAAATTATACTTAATTTTATTCTTTAGTTGTGAGCATTCTCTAAAAACTATCAACAAAAGAGTCCATGGCTAGTATGTGAAAGTTCATTCATAGAAATCTAACGCTTAAGAGAGATGTTGTATCAATAAGTCATGCTTTTAAAAGTCATGTTTTAAATCAGAGATGATAGCAAGCAAACTAGACTTTCGAAATAGAACTTTTAATATCACTCAGTGTCTTGAACTGGCAAGATACAGTAATATGTTTGAATTTTGTTCACTTGAACTGTCTGAAGAAACGCAGTATTGCTAGACATAGGCTTTGGGATAAATCTAAATAGTGGCTGTGTCTAAACCACAGGGTTCAAAATCGTTGTTAATGTAGGCACATTAGCCATCCTGCTGAAAGACAAAGTAACGTGAACACCCAGATACTTTTTTAACTTTATTTCAGGTGCTGTCATCACTTCGCCTCCCCTGGTATGAAAGTTTTCCTTCAATGATAGGCTGTGTAATAAAAGTCTATTGGCTAGGTCAAAGTATGAGCATAATTATCTATTCGGAAAGAGGAATAAATTCTAGAAGTACCCGAAGAATATTATAGAAAATAAAGTGAATAGCTTGTTACTGAGACGGACACTTTCAAATAAATCTATCGTAATCTATTTATATAAATCGAGTCTAGTTTGCGGGAATATAATCATCGGAAGTAAATATAAAGTTTTACTAAGTTACGAAAAAAAATACTTTACATAAACATGTTTGTGAACAAATACTACAACTCTGTTTCTACGACAAAGAGATTAAATCCTAATATAACTTTCCAATACTTAATCTATATACAGTGAAGTAAAAAAGCGTAACGTATGAAACTGAAAGTCTTGGGTCACTGTCTTAATTACTTAATTACGCCTGTCAATCCCCATGGTGCAAAGGCCATCGACGAATATTATCCAACCTACTCTTTCCTGGGCTTCCCTTTCCAATTCTGTCCAATTTTAGTTCATTCTTCTCAATCTTTCACTATATCTCGGCGTAATGTGTTCCTTGGCCTTCCTCTTTTCCTTTTGCCTTGAGGGTTCTAATTGACTGCTTGACTTGTGAACCAGTTCGGTGATTTCCGCAGCGTGTGTCATACTTATTTCCACCGCTTCCTCATGATTTCTTCCTCCACTGGAATCTGCTTTGTTCTCTCGCACAGTAGGTTGTTGCTGATGATGTCTGGACAAAGAATCCGAAGTGTTTTGCGTAGACAACTGTTAATGAATGAATTAATATTCTGGATGATGGCCTTCGTAGTTCTTCAAGTTTCTGTTACATACAGTGAAATTCTCTTAATATTTGTATTGGAAATGTGAACTAAAGTGTTGACTGATATTTTTTTTGAGTTCCAGATGTTCTTCAGTTGTAGAAATGCAATTATTGCTTTGCCAGTCCGCGCCTTCATATCTGCGTCAGATCCGCCTTGATTGTCATTGATGCTACATAGTTATGCAAGCTTTTAAACGTCTTCCTAGGCATGTCTATCAAGAGTGATTTGGCTGGCTCATGTTGTGTTGTATTGGAGAATCTTGCTTTTCCCTTTATGAATGTTGAAACCTGCTGCTGCTGAGACTGCCGCTACACTGGTTGTCTTCTCTTGCATTTGTTGTTGCGTTTGCGATAAAAGATCCAGATCATCTGCGAAGTGCAGATCGTCCAGCTGCATCCAGTTTACCCACTGTATCCGTTGCTTCATAATCCAGTCGGTCACGAGGAGAAAGAGAATGGACGATAGTGAGCAACCTTGCCTGACACCGGTATTGACCTTAGATGAGTGTGTCAGCTGTCCTCCGTGCACGATTTTGCAGTTTAATCCATCATGCGGATTTCGTATGATGTTGACTATCTTCTCAGGTCATGGTATTGTGGATGCATAGTTCTAATGGTTCCCATTCTAGAATAAAAACGCCATCGAGCGTCTACGGACTTTCAGTATAACTGTTTAACTTAGATCAGTGAGCGATTTTTTTGAAAAAATTTCAAACTGTTTGATATTTACAAAGAATGGTCTCAAGGGTATTAACCTCCGGTTAAAGTCACAGAACGTATTTTCTAACAAACACTACACACCGTTAGTTATTAGCGTTATTTTCTACAAGTTGTTATCACATAATACTTTAGATACTGGTGGAACAGCAAATAATTTATCATTAGGCTTCGGTTGATCAGTCGTAGTCAACAAAAGACCTACCAATAATATGTATCGATCTAGGTAGTAACTTGTCACACTAGGGCACCTCAAGAAGAGAGTGGAGTGCTACTAGTTAAGATATTATTAATAATATCTAAATTTAATTTTTGATAATTCAGTGTTACAAACGCAACTATTTCATTAATTTCATCAATTCAAAATGACACTTGTTCCTAGCAAGAAATGACAGTAATTTAACAAGTGTTGCTTTGTTTAAATTGAAGAATACCTTTTTGAAAGTCACTCAGTCAATTACAACGTGGAATGTCTTACAAGAGTACATACATCAGCATAAAGATGCAACTGTCAGTTCCGATCCTATAGTGGTAGAGATTGTAAAAGCATTAGCAGCAAAGAAAAAGATTAAGATTGCAAGATATTATTCAAGAAGTATAATTCAGTGAGATAACTTTAAGAAGAGAAAGATAGAGAGGATGGGGAATTCTGAAGATTAGAAATTAACAAACAGAAAGAGTGAATGCACCTGCGCCATCGCAAACTATTCTGAGCCATGTCGTCCAAGGTCTCTAACCATCGATTACTCTCGTCCCGCGGACCCCAAACCAGTTAGCCTAAATCTACCAACATGACTTGGTCCACTTGTCAGTGACTTCATGGATTTATGACAAGTGGACTAAGTCAAAACAATCATACTTTTTGTATAAGCTTATAGATTACAAGTTATTTTGGGATAATAGTGTTATTTTTCTTTGCTCAGAAATAATGCCTCGTATATATAAGACTTATTAGTCTAAATTATGACTGAATTCACTCAAATCTTCCATCAGATTTGATTTGAAATTTCGATTCAGAATTTTCACTTTAAGTAACAATCGGTATCTTTTAGCATGATTGCAAATGTAATTCAATGTTATTAAGTAAATATATGTGATAAATTGCCAACTACACCCCAAATTTCAATACATTAAATTTATTTTAAGAATAAGTCTTGTTCAGCTCGATGAAATGACTAGAGTAGATACACATATCTTAGACGCTTTCGGTGGTAAAATACATTATCCCTTACAAGCATTACATTGTTAACTGTAATGTATGCTACAACACTCATTTGTCAAGCGCCATGGGCAATCATGAAGTATTTTGTGCAAGTTGTTTTCTTCAAAAAAAATATATTAGTTTAGTCCCATACCAGGACGAATCGGCCGTCCAGTGCTTCTAGGTTTCTAATGACGGCCTAACAATGATTGATTGCTTGATTGGTGATTTCAGTGTGTAGAAACACTAATCTCCATAACTCTAGTTGAAAATAATCAATACTTGTTGGAGAATATTTCTGAATCGTCCACTCAAAGTATTGTTGTTGGCTGAAAGAACACCATTATAATTCAGTGTTGACAATTATTTTATGGTGTGAATTTTTCGTAAAAGTTACAGACTGACTAAACATCAAAATTTAAAACTAAATTACTAATTTTCAAACAGAATCACTTTATTTGGGACAAGTCATTGGGATGTTACTGCATACGTGTTGATATCCTATATCATGACTGAAACTGAGAACCTTTCTCTTGAAATACTAAACATTAGTGTCGCTTAGTTATCAAGTTTAAATATTAATTGCTTCAAAATATTTCGGCTTTTTACAATCATTTAATCTTTATCGAGTTAGCAGAATATAGACTGAAACAAAATTAATACTCATTAACAATTTTATTTCACTAATCATTATAGCATTGTAGAGACTGTTGAGTTTTATTGAATTAATGAATCTATTATTGTTAGACCATAAGTAGAAATCTAGAAGCATTGGACGGTCATTTTGTACTAGTATGCGTGTCCACCATGTCCGCACATGGCTATACAACACACGATCTTCGGTCTCGTGCGTGAACATTTAACCTCTAGACCAGTGAGCTGGCATCCAACAGTGTCGATGTCTAACTTCAGTCAATCCACCATATTGAGCGACCTCATCCATTGTCTTCGCAGAGTAACTGCCTCATAGCCAATAGGGCTGAATCCAACTGATCACAGCTTCTCAATAGAAGTCCGAGAATTTCCGCACGAGACTATTCACTACTGAGCACATTATATTTCTCATTATAGGGTTGTGCAGACTATTGAGTTTCTCTTGAAATGAGTTCAGTTTAGTTAGGCTTATTAAAAAAATCGAAAAAAGAAGCTGCCAAAAAATTCTAAATCGTATCAACAATATTCTACCTTATTTTAATATAACATAACATTTAATAATCTGTCTGTTAAATACTTACTGGCATAATCCAAAGAGAAAAAAAGTTTAAATTTATTTGGTAGAATTAAAAAAATATGATTGTTTTATTTGAAAAAAAAAGAAGATTATTAAACTTAGATAAAACGTAAATTATGACATTCAAAATATTGATTAATTTTGTTGTAACATATAAACCTTTGTTTACTCTCATATATTTTGTAGAGAAAAAGTAAAAAGACTTGGAAGTGAAAAGATATGTTCTCATGATTCATAATAGATAATAATTAACTAAAAACTGAACTTTTGTTTTACAAGCAAATGGATAAGAAATAAAAGGACTTCATAAAGAAATTAAGTTGTTTAATAAGATTAATCTTTATAGAGTTATGGAGATCCTGGTATGGTACTGATTAGTAGTGCGTATCCACGACTGCTGCTACTCGTAGGACTTCTAGTCTTGCGTATGAATGCTTAACACCTCGAACCCTGGGCCAACATCCAACTGTATTATTGTTAAACTTTGACCAATCTGGCCTAGAGGTTAGGCGTTCGATTGGAAGACCGAAGGCTTAGGGGTTTGATTCCTGTGAGTAGCTGAAATCATGGATACGCACGGATGATGAGTCCCATATTAGGACGAAACACCTATCCAGTACTTCCAGGTTTCTAATGGTGATCCAGCAATGACTGGTTTATGATTTCAGTATTGATAAGTTTAATAAATAAAATATTTCTAACACTTTGTGATGCTTAGAAGTATATGAATCAAGAATTAATGATCTGCACAAACGAATGTATTGTATTTAGAATTCGAAATCAAGCATTTCACAACAACAAGAAGTTACTAGTTCATTCAAACACCACATCCGCCACAGCTTAAATTGGAATGTATATGTCTGTAATCAATCGTACGTCTTCTTCTCAAATTCATCCTGTGTCTGTCCGACAGTGTATTGGATAAAGACTCTGTATTATCTAGAATGCTCTCATTAGTATTAGAATTAACAACCGAAATTGGAACAGACTCACCTGGCTCTTGGAATTGTATTTGATCAACATGTCGATTATGTGTACTTAAGTCATTGATATCTAGAATTCGCACCATAGATTTCCCGACAATCTTCTGAACGATCCCCGTGGATGGTCGAAGTTCATTGCCACGATAATATGTAACTTCTGCAGACTCCAAACATCTCATATTCGACCGAAGAATTCTTCCTTTTAATAGTTTTGATGGAGTCTCTTTCGTCACCGAATGTCTGGCATTTCTATATTGCAGTAGAAAGGTATCTACTCCCCTCTCCAGCTCATTAAATGCTGAGGCGGCAATAGAATCACTCAACCTCGAATGCTGATTTTTCAGCTTATGACACTTTTCGCAATTCTTTGCTGTACGACAAATATCTGCATTTAATGACTGTCGAGAAATGTAGTCAACATGTTGAATTTGCTTGGCACTCCCGTGCTGAACCATTTTCATACTTCCATTGCACTTAGCACACGTGGCTATCAAATCTTTAAGTAAAGCATCAGAATTTTCTTTAGAAACTAGGAAAGACAACTCCACTTTAAGTCTTCTCAAATTCTTTAAACCCAGTATTGACAGTCCTGTTTCACTAACTAAAAATTCACAAGGTATATATGAGGAATTATCATCTCTTATTAGCAATTCACAACATCCTCGTATAGGCAGTTTGTGTCCAGTAATCCCCAATATTGATACATCAGTGGGTCGTATCACAACGTTCGGATCTAACGATTTCAGGTTCTTGAATGAAATAATGGACTCTATACTGCCTGTGTCCACAATAAAGTCATGAAATGAACCAATTGATGTATATAGTCGCTTTTGAATATGAGCATTACCTTTCGAAATGGTAGTTAAAGATAAATGATCATTAGGATCAGCTGAATTATTGGGATCTAAATTACAAGCTTTAGTACTACTTGAGGCAAAATGAACAGTAGCTTTGCATACTGCTTGAATGTGTCCTATCTTACCACATCTAAAACATTTAGCATTACGAAATGTACAATAATAACGAGAATGAAGTTTTCCACATGATAAACATTTGCTAAACTTGGTCTCACCTTCTTGATTTCCTTTGTAATTCTTTTTTGAGACACCGTTCATTTTTACACGAGAATAGGAACCTCTGTTAAACGAACACAATTTTGATTGACCCTGAGATTGTTTTTCATCATGACAACTGATCAAAGTATTGGAAATCTTCATCGACTGAATATCAAGTTCATTCAACGCCTCGTAGTTAATGCACGCAGTTCTAACATCTTGAAAGGAACAGTTTGACATTCTTAACAGCTCTCTTTCCAAACTAGGTATGTTAATTCCTGCAATTAATCGGTCTCTCAGCTGCACATGAAGTTGATCACCGAAATTACATTTGACAGCCTGTTTCTGCAATTCAAGAATAAATTCCTTAACATTTTGGTCATTTTGACGAATCATCTTATGAAATTTCGCTCTTTCACGGCATTCAAAACCAGGGCACTTTACATGATTCAGTAATAACTCCTTTAGCATTGCATAGGGAAGTGAAATAGGTTTTTCTGGATATGCCAAGGTTTTCAATAAGCTGTACGCTTCTTTTCCGATGAATGTTAGGAAATGAGCCACAATTTTATCATCTTTGACATCTTTCCTGGTCATACTCCAGATTTCAAACCTTTCCAAATAATCTTCAAAAGCTTCAGAAGTAGAACGAATATCTAGCTGTTCCATTACAAATCCTGCTCGCGACGCCACTGTGATGCTTAGAAGTATATGAATCAAGAATTAATGATCTGCACAAACGAATGTATTGTATTTAGAATTCGAAATCAAGCATTTCACAACAACAAGAAGTTACTAGTTCATTCAAACACCACACACTTGTCTAGTTAAAATTAGCTCAAACATCATACTATGATAATTGAAGTGACAGTACATTATATCATAAAAGCAAATTAGTTTAAGTTCATTAGATTAATTAATTTGTTTATATTCATAAGGCATTTATAATCTATTAATTAAAATCGGAATGTGATAAAATTTATTTCTACAACTAAATTTATACACACCTTCATATTGAATTGATACTTTTGTTATTACGTACTTACTTACTTGCTTGCTACCTCCAATGGAGCATAGGCCGTCGACCAATGTTATCCAACCTACACTGTCCTGGGATTTCCTTTCCAGTTCTGTCCAGTTTTTGTTCATTTTTCTCGTCTTTCTCTATTTCTCGTCGGTCTTCCTCTTTCCCTTTGGCCCTGAGGATTCCAAGTTAGGGCTTGTGCTGTGACACAGCTGGGTGCTCTCCGTAATGCATATCTTATCCACTTCCACCGCTTCTTCCTGATTTCTTCCTTCACTGGAATCTAGTTTTTTCTTTCCCACAGTAGGTTGTTGCTCATGGTGTCTGGTCAACGAATCCAAAGTATTTTGCGTAGACAACCGGTAATGAATACTTGTATCTTCAGGATGATGGATTTCGTAGTTCTTGAAGTTTCCGCTCCATATAGTAGAACTGTCTTGACATTTGTTTGGAAAATTCTGATTTTGGTATTGATTGATATTTGTTATGTTATTCAGTTTTATAAAACTACTTATTTTTGCAGTGAATTCTTTTTGTTTGGAATATTTATTTATATTAGTTTTTAAGTCAGCTATGATTAGTCTAAATATTTTTATGTATATATATATATAGTCAGTAACAATATAGAATATGAAATTTCTGCTAACATAATTATCGGTTTTTTACTAATCCATTATATCCTATCTTCATTTCTATTTTTTTTCTGTAAACTTTTATCATAACAGAAAAATCAAAATTATTCTGGTCCGCAACAACCCCGTTCTTCATCAGCATCCTCATCATCTTATCTATTATCGTCAATGTCAACTGTCACTACACCTAACATACATGATTCTTCAATTTCAATAACAGATCAAACTAATGCAACTGGGAATAGTTCCACTTCTGCTACGACTAGTACAACTGCTACAACAACAACTACTGCTACTACATCAAACATATCTGCAGCTGGAAAATCAACTTATACACTTGGCAAAGAAATTGAAATTGAATTAGGTAAATCTCATCTCAGAATTATGAGTAATTTATTATAATTAATCGGTGTAAAACAAGCTGCTATTACTTACTTACTTACTTACTTACTTTCTTATTCGAATTCTTTTTTTCTTGGTTTGTGATTTTTTATCGAGTTAGTTTTCCACGGGATTGGGTCTCTAACCCCACGCCCTACCCTCCTCCTTTACCCGGGCTTGGGACCAGTGTTAGCCCCGGGTGGGCTCCAGGTGGAGCTTAAACTATAATTAGCACTTTATCATTATTATGAAATTCAGACAACACTGAGCAGTTTTATGTTTCGTACTGAACTCACAAACTATTGAAGAATCGAATATAGGAGTTTTTGAAAATATTGTCATGTCTACATTTCATCATTTTTTAACATTTCTTTTCTTTTTTTGTGCTTTATGTTAGTAATTATTCGAAAGAACTAATTGATTAATAATTCAAATAGACTACATTTTCCACAATTTAAACTTTTTTCTGACTGACGAATGTTTCTTATTATAAACAAACTTAACCATAGATCAAATCAAATTTAATATATATTTATCGATTCTGATACGTACTGACTTACGCCTTCTACCCGTAATGAAGCATAGGCCACTGATCGTCATTCTACAACCTACACTGTCCTCGACCTTCTTTTCCAGTTCCACCCAATTTCTGTTCATTCTTTTGATGTCTGTTCTTTTCAATAGTCGGCATAATGTGTTGTTTGATTTTCTTCGTTTCCTTCGGTCTTGAGGATACCAAGGGAAGGCGTGTCGTGTGACGCATTCCGGTGATTTCCGCAGTGTGTGTCCTATCCACTTCCACCGCTTCTTCCTTATTTCTTACTCAGCTGGGATCTAGTTTGTTCCGTTCCATAGTAGATTGTTGCTCATGGTGTCTCGTCATTGGACAAGCAGTATCTTGCGTAGACAAATGTTAATAAATACTTGTATTTTTTGGATAATTGATTTCGTGGTTCTTCAAGTTTCTGTCTCATACAGTAGAATTCTCTTAATATTTGTATTGGAAATTGTGACTTTAGTGTTGATTGATAGTTGTTTTGAGTTCCAGTTGAGTTGTAGAAGTGCAGTCCTTGCTTTGTCGATCCGCGCCTTCACCTTGGTTGTCGACGATGCTGCCAAGATATGTAAAGGTGTTAACGTCCTCCAAGGCATGTTCATCAAGAGTGATTTGGTTGGCGCATGTATTATTGTATCGGAGAATCCTGCTTTTCCCTTTGGTGTATGGTGAGATATTTTGCTGGGGTTTTTGCTACTGTGGTCTTCTTCTCCTTCATTTTTTGATGAGTGTGCGATAGAAGAGTCAGATCGTCTGTGAACTCCAAATCGTCCAGCTGCATCGTGGCTGTCCACTAGATACCGTGTTTCACTTCAGATGTTGAAGTTTTTATAATCCAGCCCACTACCAGGAGGAAGAGTAGGAGTTAGAGTAGGAAACCTTGCCGGACATTAACTTTCACGATTTTAGAGTGTAATAAATCATAAGAATTCCATATGATGTTGACAATCTTCTCAAATACACCATAGTGTAAAATGAGTCAAATGCTTTTTCTTAGTCGATGAAGTTAATGTAGAGTGATGAATACCATTCCGTTGATTCGCTCACAATGATTTGTAATATTGCAATTTGTTCGTTACCAAATCCATCCTTACGGAATCCAGCGTGTTGACTATGAAGTTGAGCATTGACTCTGATAGAAACTATATAACATTATTGATTTACATAAACTTGTACAACGCTCCAAACTTTAAATTGTTCAATATTCATTATTTTCTGCATGGATTTAATTCAATGAAAAATCCTTAAAATTCCATTGTTTATCATATGAATAAATAAAGAAATAAAGAAATAATAATAATATTAATAATATAGAATTTTTTTTATTTAAATATTAATTTCATTTCATAATATTTATATTTTATGAAAGCTTTTAATAGACTCTTAAAAATAAACTGTATTTTCAAAAAAAAAACTTACAACACCGTGATGCATAAATTAATGATTTATAGATTTTATTCGACATCACATACAAAAATAAATATTCGATCATAACATAACATGTTACTATTACTGTGTGTGTGTGTGTGTGTAAATCATTCATGCAAACTAAGAGGCAAGAGAATAAAATTAGCAAACAAACAAATGTTTTTTTCTTCTTTTCAAAACAAACAATTTTCTGTCTGTTTTTCTATTTTTAGTTTATTTTGAAGATAAAATTGAAAAAAAACTTCAGACTAATATAATACTTGTTTAAATACTATCAAATTGATGATGATTAAGTATGAAAAACAAGGTACAAAACTATGTACAAGTCAAATACTTTCTTTATCATCATCATCATCATTCTAAAAACAGTGGGAAAGAAAAATTCAAACGATCGATAATCTTTATTGTAGACAAACAATTACACACACACTCACAGTAGTTCAAATATATTACTGAAATAAAATGCATTGATCAGTGTAAGACTACTAGTAGAAATTTTGAAGCACCGGACGGCTGTTTCGTCCTGATATGTGACTGTTCAGCGGTGTGTATCCACAGTTTCTGCTACTTGCAAAATTCGTACGCGGGACTTTCGGTCTCGCGTGTGGGTCGGCATCCATCAGTAGTGAATGGATAGCTCTGATCTAACGACGATTGATTTGTGATTTCAGTGATCAGTAACAAACATAAGTGTATTAAAAATAAAAAAATTTCGTCTAGATTTTTTGTATATAAAGATTGAATACAAACTGTTTTTTTGGTTGATCGTAATTGCAGATTGTTGTACAACCATTTTTTACATTTTTTTAAAATTATTCCGTTTAATATTAGATCAATAACATGTAAATATATGCATAGTTGTCTAGTCTATAGTTTATGTATGATAAACTACTTGTTTATGTAGTTAATTGTTCGATTATATAAATAAATAAAACTCTAAATAAAAAGAATAAGGTATCATTGTTTTCTACATCAAATATTAGTTTTCATGAAGATCAACATGGAAATTTTGTATGATACAGGCCAGTTAGCAAAACTGTACTTTGTGACGCGTTAGATGCCGGTTCATTGGTATGGCGGTTAGGTGTTCGAGCAGCACATCCGGAAGGTTTGAATCCTGCGAGTAGCGGAAGTTGTGGATGCGTACTGCTGATAAGTCCCATATCAGGATGAAACAGCCCTCCAGTTCATCCAGGTTTCTAATGGTTGTCTAACACTAGTCGACTCATGATTTCAGTAATGAATAGTATTCATAGTTAGATTTGTAACTAAGAATGAAACTAGCCTCTACACAGTTAACAAAGGGACAATCATTTATCAAAGCGAAAAGATATTTATATATATGTGAATAGATATAGATATACATATAGTTTTTTACATACTATTCTTGTAAATTCTAATCCATTCATAGTACAACCACACTTAATGCGTTGGTTTTTTATCCCGTTAAACTTTATTTATCTCGAGGTTAAGCGTTCCTGTCCAAGACTGAAGGCCCAAAGTTCAATTCCCGCGACTGGACGTTATGGAAAAGCGATACTGATGAGTCCCATACTAAGACGAAGCGATCCTCCCAGCTTTCTACTGGTAGTCTACTAATGATCAACTGATGTTTTTAATAAAACTCAATAATCTCTATAACTCTATCATAACAAATCATGAATAGATCATTTTTATATAAGCTATAGATAAAAATAATTCCTAATTAGTTAATCGTTAATTAAGATAACAATTTTTAATATTAGTATTGATGTTATTTTCTACTGATTATGAAACAAAATGAATAAAAACCTGAGTAAATGCTAAACGTTTATCAATTATAATCTAATATCCCTTTCAATTTTTTTATTGCTTCCTTTTATACGAAATGTATTGTACAAGCTTCTTCATATAATATTCACATTAAAGTATCATATATATGTATAAAAGAATATGAAAGCAAAACTGTTATTGATTATTTCGTTTATAAATGTTTTCTTGTTAAAATTGTATTTATTGAATATAATGTACCGAATGTTTGTTACATAAATTATGGCACTTAGTACTGTATAGAGAAATAAATAAGATCGTGTTTAGTTTAGCCAAATATACCGTATTATTAAACTACATTATGTATATTTACACTTGTGAGCCTGTTAAAAAAGTGATTGAACCAGGATAAATGCTTAATGCATTTAGTGTATATAATGGACCTATTAATCTCCGCAATTTCCCTAAATCACAGGAAGTTACCATTTGTGTTTATGTGCAACGATTTTTATATTTTCTATGGGATGAGATAAAACTAAGCACAAGTTACTTTCATTTATCATGAATCCAGGAGTTCGCGCGCAAGACTGAAGGTCCTGGGTTCGAATACTACAGGGTGCAGGAGTCGTGAATGCGCACTGCTGCTGAGTCCCATGCCGGGACGAAACGGCTATCCAGTGATTCCAGGTTTCTGATGATGGTCTAGCATTGATCGATACATGATTTTGAAGTAACTCAATTACATTTGTTGTAGTTAGTCAAAACATATTGATATTAAATAAATTTGGCAAATAATTCATGTTCAATAATATTTAATATATTTGATGAGGTGTCTATGTAACCTATTATACTTGGGCTATACTAATGTATTTTTATGTTATCTAATGAAGTTATGTACATTTATAATTGACTTTGAAAAGCCTCATCTAATGATCATCTACATCGTGTTCTAAGACAGAATAAACAGAGTATGAGTTTTAATCCAATCCCTGATTTTTGCACTAACACTCTCGTTACATCTCGTTGGTGAAAAATGAATAAGTTGATTTCCCGTAAATATTGTCATTAGACAATTATTTACTTATTACTTAGTACTAGTTTTTAAAATGTTGTATAACCTAAACCGATCACACGTCTGAACTGCAAATATTACAGGTTTTCTATAAAAGTAAACATTTTCCGTCAATCAAATAAAATAATTTCATGAAATAATCATAACAGACATCAAGTGGAAAATTTATTTACCTAAA